TGCATAGATTGAGTTAAGAGACTGAGTAGTTTTCACTGTAGGAGAATCTGATTACTGCTGAGGTAAAATGGACATAGATACAATTGCCCTTTTGTTACAAGGTTAATTAATAAACTGACAGTCCTTATTGCTTAGGTCTTTCTCATTCAGGTTCAGGAAATAAGACAGTAGGCCTGATTCTCCCCACTTCCTCACACCTTCCAGTTATCCTTATGTGGAATGGGTGTAAAATACTCCTGTTCTCGTCCAGGAATGCTTTACACCTACTCCACACAGGTAGAAATGACTGCAGAAGATGCAAGGAAGTGAGCGCATGGGTGGAAATCAGGACAATCATATTTGCACAATACCAGAGGCTGAGGAGGCCTCCTCCATGCTGGTTTAAGCAAAATTGACTTAAAAATGTATCCAGTTAAAATGCTAATATCTTCTCCCTCCCCACTGTATAGATTAACATACACTGGTTTAAACCTATCTTAAATAAATTCATTATGTGTTGGTAAACTATAAAATTAAGATAACCAAATTAAAGATTTAATGTTTATTTAGTTACTGGTTCAACTTCTCTTCTGGAGACAAGGCCTCAGAGCACTGTGAAGCTGATAGAGCCCCACTAGCCATTGTATCTTGGTTTAAACGCTTACACTTGTTTTAGGATCATAGAAAATGAGGGTTCATAGATTTCATAGACGTTAGGGCTGGAAGGGACCTCGGAAGATAATCGAATCCATCCCCCTGCTTCAGGGGCAGGAAGTCAGCTGGGGTCATAGGATCCCAGCAAGATAAGCATCCAAATTTCTCTTGAAGGTGTTCAAAGTAGGTGCTTGAACCACCTCTGGCGGCAGTCTATTCCAGACCTTGGGGGCTCGGACAGTAAAGAAGTTCTTTCTTATGTCCAGCCTGAAACGGTCCTGGAGGAGTTTATGACCGTTCGAACTTGTCATCCCCGGGGGTGCTCTGGTGAACAGAAGTTCCCCCAGATCCTGGTGAGCACCCCTGATAAACTTATAGGCGACCACCAGATCAGCCCTGAGCCTGTGCTTTTTCAGGCTGAAGAGTCCCATAGCTCTCAGCCTCTCATCATAAGGTTGGTTTTCCTGCCCTCTGATCATGCGCGTGGCTCTTCTCTGGACTCTCTCAAGCTTCTTCACATCCTTTTTGAATTGCGGAACCCAAAACTGGACTCCAGCTGCGGCCTCACCAAGGCCGGGAGAATAACATCCTGGGATTTGCTTGAGAAGCATTTATGGAGGCAAGCCAGCGTTTTGCTCGCTTTACTGGCCACAGCATCACATTGAAGGCTCGTGTTCATCTTGTGGTCAATCATGAACCTCAAGTTCTTTTCATCCATAGTGCTATGCAGCGTAGCACTGCTGAGCCTATAAACATGCTGCGGGTTTTTCTTCCCAAGGTGGAGAACCTTGCATTTTCAGTGTTAAACACCATCAGGTTCTCATCTGCCCATTTCCTGAGCCTGTCCAGGTCAGCCTGGATCACCCTCCTGTCCTCAGGTGTGGATGCTTTTCCCCCAAAGGTTGGTGTCATCAGCGAACTTGGCCAGTCCACTTCTGATACCAATGTCTGCATCATTAATGAAGATGTTGAATAATACAGGCCCAAGGACAGCCTTGAGGGAACCCACCACGATGATTGACTTCAGTCAACCACCACCCTCTGGGCGCAACCATGGACTCAATTCCCCAGCCAGCGGATTGTGGCAAAACCGAGGCCGCAGTTGGCCAGTTTTGCCAAGAGGTGATCATGGGATACCAGATCAAAGGCTTTTTTATACGACATCAATCATCTCTCCCTTGTCCAGGTGATAGGTCACCTGGTCGTAAAAGGAGATAAGATTAGTCAAGCAAGACCTACCTGCAACAAACCTGTGCTGGCTATCCCTCAGGATGCTGCCATCGGCCAGTCTGTTAAGAATGGCATCTTTGATAATCTTTTCTAAGACCTTCCCTGGGATAGAGGTCAGGCTGATGGGCCTGTAGTTTGTCAGATCTACTTTCCTCCCTTTCTTGAAGATAGGCACCACATTGGCCTTCTTCCAGTCCTCGGGCACTTCACCAGAGCACCAGGAGTTCTCGAAGATCCGTGCCAGGGGCTGAGCTATGATGCTTGTCAGCTCCTCGAGTACTCTGGGGTTTAAACTGTCAGGGCCGGCTGAGTGTCCAGCCTCTCTAGGTGTTCCTTCACAAAGTCAGCACTGATGGAAGGTAAGGAGTCTCCCTCACCCAGGCCTTCCCGTCCCATAATGGGCAGGGGCGTCCCATGGGACTGGTGAAAAACCAACCTAAAATACCCATTTAGCAAGTTGGCTTTATCCTGGGCATCGGTTTAGAAGGGGCCCAATGTTGCCCTTGCTTTTCCTCCGGCTCCCCACATATCTAAAAAAGGCCAGTTGGAGTTCAGTCGCAGGCTTGGCTTTCCTGGTTTGCTCCCTGCAGGTCCAGACCAGTGCAGAATATTCCTCCTTGGAGGTGGATCCCATCCTCCATCCTTTGTAGGCCTTCCTTTTCAGATGATGGATCCGGTCCTCCATCCTTTCTAGGTCTTTCTTTGTAGACGCAGGAGGTCCGCCAGTTCCCTGCAGAACCAAGGGGGCTGCTGTGCCCTTTTGCTGCCTTTCCTCTGAGATGGGATGGACTTTGCTTGCGCATCCAGGATTGCTCCCTTGAGGAAAAACAACTCTTCCTGAACTCCCCTCCCCATTGGGTCGTGGTCCCTTAGGGCCTCACTGACAAGCCTCCTGAGCTTGTCAAAGTCAGCTTTCCTAAAGTCGAGGACTTCTGTATTGCTGACTGACTTGCCAACTTTACGGTGGATGGTGAAGGTGATCAGCTCATGATCACTGTCACCCAGTTTCCCATTGATCGTTAGGTCACTGATTAGGTCGCCCCGCATTGCCAGTACCAGGTCGAGCAGTGCTTTACCTCTCATCAGCCCGTAGACTTCTTGCGTCAGGCAGAGTTCATCCACGCGCGAGAGAAAGCTTTGCGACCACTCTGATTTGGCCGAGTGCTCTTCCCACGAGATGTCAGGGTAGTTGAAGTCTCCCATGACAACCCTGCATGGGGAGCATGCAACTTTAGCCAATTCCCTGGCAAACTCCTGGTCAAGCTCTTGATCCTGGGTGGGAGGTCTGTAGTAGACTCCCATCATTGTGTCCCCTGTGCCGTGTTCCCCACGGATATTCACCCAGAGGGTCTCCAGTCGTCCACCCTGGGCACCAATGTCTGCTTGCAGGGACTCGTAGCTCCCCTTGACATAGAGAGCTACACCCCCACCCCTTTTGTCCACTCGATTTCTCCTGTACAGGGTATAGCCATCTATACTTGTGGCCCAGTCATGGGTGGAGTCTCACCAGGTCTCCATTATCCCTATGACGTTGTAATTATTTTTGTTAAGCAGGAGGACAAGTTCCTCCTGCTTATTCCCCAAGCTCCTGGCATTTGTGTACAGGCAGGCAAGTGTCCCTTTAGGGGCCCCTGCCTTGCCCACAGCTCGTTCCAGGGCTGGGGCAGGGGTGGGCTCCTTTAAGTGCCTTGGCCTGCTGGCTTTGCAAAGGTTGCTCAGTGGACCAGCAGTGGCAGTAGTCCCCGCATCCCCTAGCGGGCTCAGTTTAAAGCCCGGTGGAGCAGGTCAGCTAGTCTGGCTGAGAAGAGCCTCCTCCCCAGCGGAGAGAAGTGGAGGCCGTCCCTTCCCAGCAGCTCACTGCCTCTCACCAAAGAGCAGGCTGTGGTCATGGAAGCTGAAGCCTTCCCAATGACACCAGCGCCACAGTGTTTGGTTCACTAAGGGACCTTAGGATTGGAAGGGACCTCAGGAGGTCTAGTCCAACCCCTGCTCCAAGCAGGATCATCCCCAACTAGATCATCCCAGCCAAGGCTTTGTCTAGCCAGGTTTTGAAAACCCCCAAGAATGGAGCTTCCACCACCTCTCCGGGTAACATCTTCCAGTGTTTTACTACCCTCCTAGTGAGAGAGTTTTTTCCTAATATCTAACCTAAACTTCTCTTACTGCAGCCTGAGACCATTGCTCCTTGTTCTGTCATCTGCCACCACTGAGAACAGTTTAGCTCCATCCTCTTTATACCCCCCTTCAGGCAGTTGAAGGCTGCTATTAATTCCCCTCTCGGTCTCCTCTTCTCTAGACTAAATAAGCCCAGTTCCCTCAGTCTTTCTTCATCTGTCATGTCCCCCAGCCCTCTCACCATTTTCATTGTTCTGGCTTCATCTGCATTACAGCTCTGTCTATATCAAGATCTGCTTTCCCTGAAGCCAGCTGGAGGGTTTGTCACAGACACTAGAATTTAACCACGCATTTAAAAACAGTTTGTTTGTGCAAAAATGAATGCTGGCTATTAGGTGCCTACACATCTTTGAATGCACCAGAAGGCATCTGTCAGCCAATTCAGGCACCAAAACACCTTTGAAATCTGACTCATGCTCTTTGCCACTGGGAGTGTAAAGACCTGTTCTGTGAGACGTTTCACACCTTGTGACACTTATCCATAAATAAACTTATTTTGACAGAAGAATTCACTGGTATGATAAAGAGTAAGTGATAACCCTGGATTTTGTGCGATGGGGAAGACATACATTTGAGTTTAAAATGTAATCTACCCAAGAGACTTATTTGTGATGTAGCCAAAAGGTAGGGGTAGTTCTGTTCTGGGACTGGAGAGTGCTAGTTTGGGTATGTCTTTGCTACAATGCAGTGTAGACATATTCAAAGACTAATAAGCTTTCAACATTAAAAATCAACCTCAGGAAACTTTACTTCTGTTTATTTTCCCTGCTCCAGAATGAAATTTGAATATTTGACGAAATAATGAGGAAAATAATTGATACATATATCATGCCTCTGTTACATGTACATCATCTCTCTTGTCTGTTAAATGCAAATGCTTCCTTGGAGCTTAAAATCTCACTTTAGCACTAAAGATGTGTAATAATGGACACTTCATTTGTTTCCTTTTCTTTTAATTTTAGGAGTTGGAAAGACTACATTGATCCAGAAAGCAACTCAAGCTCTGAAATCCTCTGGAATCCCTATTGATGGATTTTATACAGAGGAAGTCAGAGTGGATGGCAGGAGAACAGGATTTGATGTTGTCACTTTGTCTGGAGGACGGGGAACTTTATCAAAAGTTGGGTAATGCTGTTTTAGTACCATCATGTGCCTACTGCTTTTAGAGTTGATCCTGTGACCCTTCTATGTGTCATGCCCCTTGAAGTTAATAGGATTTCTACATGAAAAGGGTTTGCATGTTTAGGTCTTATGTTAGATTCTCTGGGCCTGATTGACTCCCAGCCAGCACTTTACATTGGTGCTCGTATCACTGCAGAGCACACTAAAAATACCTAACAAATCAGAAAGATCCCCTTCACACTGTTGCAAATAACTACAGAAGGTATAGAGCAACTAATATACTGGTTCCACCCACTTCACTCTGGGACCTGACTTAGCCTATAATATATAGAGTATACTATTGTTTCATGATCCAAGATGGTATTTTTGCCTCTTATTTTGAAAAAAAATAATACTGTTTCCCTCAAATATAAAGGAGTTAGAAGCTGAAATTTAAAGACAGACAAGTTGAAATAAACTTTCTGCAATAAGCTGCTGGCTATCCTACAAATCTTATAAGTAGGGTTTCAAGAAAACAAATATTTCAGATCCCCACTTTCAGATATAAAGGAGCTCATGTCTTCTGTTTCACAAACACATTCTTAGCATTTCATACTCCGTGCAAAAACTTATACTAGGGCCATGTGTACCCTGCAGTCAAAAGGATGTTCTAAACCTTTTTAGAGTCAAGGCAGCCCCTTAAAAAAATATCAGCTCTTAGCTTTCACTCATTTTTTGACTACAGAAAAATAACAGAGTTTTGGTTGCAAGGAACTCAGAAAGACCACAACAGATCAGAATATTTTTGATACTGTGGATTCCTATTTGAGATCTCTGGGTTTATCTTTGGAATCCTCTGTTGGGTGTTTGCACATTTAATAGTGCTAATATTGCATTGCAGCCCCGTCACCCTTAAAAGGATCTTGCAGCAACCCAGGATGTCATGGTGCCCTGGTTGATAACCACTGACATAGACATACCTTTTCTAGCTTGGGAACCAATAGCAATGTAGCTGCAGCAGCAGAGTTCAGTGTGGGCTCACCCTCCACAAGTGTTTACTCAGTTTCCCAGGTAGGTTTTATAGCCCATTAACTCAACTCCGGGCTGCTTCAACTATGCTGATAGTTGAAGCAGTACTCTAGGGGCAGCTCATGTATGCACATCTCTTCAAATGGGTATACGTGAGCTGCGATCACAACTTTGTCTGTAATGTACAGGTACCCTTTGGCTTCTTGTCTTTGTTTTCTGAATTTCCCCACAAAGCTTACTGATGTTGAGTAACTTCCAGGATGTCCAATTACTTAGAGAAAAACATATATAATAAAATCCATTTTGCCACCTGCAGCATGATATTCAATGTTAGCCAAGGAATGTTAGGGGACATGTGGCTTATTAGGATAACCACTCTTGTAAAGGCCAGTTAAAATTACTGCTGCAGATTTTCACCATGTTCATGATTTCTTTGATTTATGAGAAAATGTTTGGCTTTGTTTTTAAATTCAGTTCTGATTCAACTACTGCAAGACGTGAATATCGTGTTGGGCAGTACGTAGTGGACCTGGTTTCATTTGAGCAATTGGTTCTTCCTGTGCTGAGAAATGTGAGTAAAAACTTCTGAAAAGGAAGTAGTTTATTTTGAACAGTATTATCAGAAAGTCTGATGGGCTCAAGGTGTTAGCAAGTAATAATGGAACTTTAGATTTCAAAAGATTTTTTGGTAAGTTGGAAAACTGGGTGCTAGACAATAAAGTGAAAGTCAACAAAGACATGTAAGGAGCTACACATGAAAAAGAAAAACCCAGATACACAAATACAAAATGGGAGATACCTTGTTAGTAGCATTGCTGAAGAGAAGGTTAAAGTGGATTACAGACTAAACACAAATTTAAATTGATGATGTGATGCAGTCACAACCCTGCCTTCCCCGTGCCCCACTCCTCCCTGCCTTTCCTTTTCCCCCCCCCTCTTAAATCCACCAAGAAAGAAAAACAAACATGTAATTTTGGACTGCATTAAATGGAATATTGTAAGTCATCCGACACGATAATATTGTTCTACTTGGCCCTAGTTAGGTCTCCGCTAAAATATTGTGTCCACTTCTTGACTGGATATTTTTAAGAGAGATGTGGGAGAGGATCCAGATAGTAAAGAGGTTGGTGTGCAAGGTGTTTGAGGAAAGGTTGAGAAAAATAGGTATGTTTAGTTTGGAGGAAAAGAAATTAAGGTGGTCAGGGTAGCAGTTTTCAAATACTTGAGAAGCTGTCATAAAGAAAAGGCAGAACAACTGTTTTCCCTTTCCACACAAGGCAAGATATGAAGCAGTGGATTGAAACTGCAGGAAAGCAGCTTTAGATTAAATCTCAGAGAACACTTCCTAACAAAAATATAAGACTGGAACAAACTGTCCAAAGAAGTTGTAGAATCTCCTTCATTGGAAGCTTGCAAAAAGAGGCTGAACAGGCATTTGTCTGGAATGGTTTAGTAACATTATGTTCTGCTTAGTTTTGAAGGGAGGATGGACTAGATGAACCTTGAAGTCCTTCCAAACTTGTAATGTTCTGTAATGTTGGAGGACTTGGCAGCAGAGGTTTCCTTTAGAGAACTGCCATCTCAATTCACTTCTGCAGATCCCATCTTCTGCAGAGTTCTGGTAGAAGCATTTCCATAGGTCCCCAAACAGAAAGCTGGCCGCAAAGCCAAAACTTCTTTGTCCCTTGCTGTGATCTACTTAATCAAATTTTCTCTATCTATAAAAGGGAAGAGAGCGCTTCCAATAGAAACAATATTTAAAAAAATGTTAAATTACCCTTTTTGAAACTACCTGTGGACTTGTTGCATCTTCAGTTGATGATAGTTCTACTAACTTGAGAATCATCTACTGCTGCTTAAGGACCAATCTGGTTGTGTCATTGTGGGAATCTTTAGTAATCATTTCTTGGTTCTGGTTTCCATTCTGAGAGAAGTGTGTGTTCAAAGCATGTTCCACAGAACAAGTGTTCAATCATCACTGAATGAAAACATTCGGACTACCACCCAGTCATATAAACTGGGGTGTGGATTCACAGTTTGTGTTTCCAGGCTGTGCACATGGTAATGGGAACAATATTTCTTCACTTACGAAAGTTATTGATGGCAAAATTTGTACAACCAGATGTTTGAAAACACCCACAATGAGAATGATTTAATGCATCCAGTATGTGTTCCCTTGGTTTCTGCACCATCTTTCTCTTCCTTTCCACTTGGGATGGTTGGGTAGTCAATAATGTCCTTACTGAAACTTCTGCCTCCACTTCCACCTTTGCCCCCTTCACCTCAAATTAAACAAGAACAGACCTGATTTGCTTAGTCTTCTAATAAACCATGGGCAACAGCTGCTGGGATAACTACTAGAAATCCTCAGTGGTTTCTATGCTGCTTAATGGAGGACAGAGTAGCTTCCATGGGGCACTAAGAGAATGGAGATAAAAGATGCAGGGAACAAGGCTAAGGTTTTGGTTCTTGCCCTTCATGGCATCAGGAGAAGGAACAAAACATTTCAACAGTGTGTGGACAAGGAGGATGGGGGCAATACAAAGAGCAGGAGGACACAGCAGAAGAGACACTAGTAACACTTTCTTATTGTATAGTAAACTTTTAAAAAGTAGAGAAAGACTTTATTATATAAGGACTTAGAATAGTGCAATTAATATAGTAATACAAGAGTGTAAAAGAATTAACTTGTGGGGTTTTTTTACAAGCATTCAGTAGGTCGGAGGGGTGGAGGGGAGGGGAGAGAGAGAGAATCACGGGCAGAAAGGGCTCTGAGAAGTGAGAGAGGGCCTGGTTCTGCTTTCATTTAATCAGTAATAACATTCTCAATGATTCAGTGGCAACAAGACCATGGCTATGGGCGGTACAAAGTTGGGGGAAGAATAGAGTAAAAGGGAAGGATAATAGTGAACGGGAATAAGAATAGACCAAAATTAAGGGCAGGGGAAGCAAAGTAGAAATATAAGGAGAGGGTTTTTTTGTGGATGGGCATGGATGAGTTGAAGACTAATTGAAAAAGTATACTAATCTTAGAGCATGAGTAATTAATTCACAAATGTTTCATTAATATTTTTGTGGGGCTTTATTGATATTTCTATAGGAAGCAACATATAGCAGATAGTCTTTTTTTACTGGAGAGTGTAGAAATAGCAAAATATACAAGATCATTAGTGTTCTCAATGTCATGTGGCTCCAGTAGAGTTTACTGAAAAATGTTAAGACACCAGTTATTTTGATCATAGAATCACAGGGTTGGAAGGGGCCTCAAGGATCATCAGGTCTAACCCTCAATGTGAATGGCACTCCTAGATCATCCCTGACCAATGTTTACTTAACCTCTTCTTGAAATCGTTTAGTAAAAGAGATTCTGCAGCTTCCTTGGACAGTCTATTCCACTGCCTCACTGTAGAACAGTAACAAAATTCTTCCTGATATACAATCTAAGTCTACTTTATTGCTAGTGCTCTAAGATTTGAAGCCATTGTTTCATATCCTGCTCTCCACATCAAGGGAGAAAAGTGGTTCTCCATCTCTTTTATGGCAGCCTTTAAGATATTTGAAGAGTGTTACCAAGTCCCTCCCTAATCATCTTTTTTGCAAGCTATATATGCCTAGTTCCTTCAGCTTTTCCTTATGGGCTTGCCTTCCAAATCCTTTATCATTTTTCTCATGTGCCTGTGGATCCTCTCTAATTTCTCCACATCCTTTTTAAAATGTGGAGCCCACAACTGCCCACAGTACTCTCGGGGCATAAACAGATATCACTTTTGTGCCACCATTACATTTTTTTATGGCCATGCAGACAGACATTGTGCCCCTTGTTACCCCACAAGTGTCTAAAATTTGTGGCTGTGACAGTGGCACAAAATTCCACCTATTTTGCAGCTGATATCTGTTTTGCTTTAAGACAGTAGCCCAGAGCTTCCCATACTCTCCAGCTGAAGCCCAAGGAGTTCCTGCTTGGGTTCCCCTATTTGGAATTTCCTGGGACCATACAGCAGTGAGTTTGAGATTCTGGAAACACATCTCTACAAAAGGGAAACCTCAGGTCTCCTTGCTAATAGAAGAGTGCCCGGGGATTCCGTTGTTTGCCCTGAGTGTTGTCCCACAGGACCCTGTGGGACAGTGGGTGATGTTTTTTCACCCAGTGAAGTGGGATCAGCTGTACCAGGACACATCCTGGCACAGCTGATCCCCCTTCATTTGGCAGTGTCTGTTTATACGCTAGCTAAAGCCTCACCAGTTCCGAGTAGTGGTACTATCTTACACACAATACTCCTGCTGATATAGCAGTTGTATCAGAACAGCCGATACATGCTCCAAAGCAGCATGTCCTCCTTGCCTTTTAAAATAGTTAAAGGTGCATCTATCCACAACTTTAGGTTTCAAGGGACATCTCCCATTACTTCAAGTGGGAAAGTGTGGATCCTAGAGTAGGTTGTGTTTGGAGCTCTGTAAACTTCACTTGAAGGGGCAGGGGATTCTGTACAAGAGTGAAAGTTCAGTTTCTTAGTACTTGATCTAATGACAGGCATTGGCTTTTCAGCTCACTGATCTCTGAAAGGGTTTTAGATAAAACAGCTGTCCAGTAGGGACTTAGTTTTGAAAGGTTTTGGGAGCATGTTATGCATTTCTTCCATTTTCTTCAGAACTTCTATTTCACAAGGGAAAATGTTTAAATTGTTTTCTTCTTCAGTTATGTAGTTAGTTGGTATATGCACTTATTCATGGATTAACTGTGAAGATTTTGACTTGGGTCAGTTGGCCCCTAACAAACACAAATAGTGGACTTTGATTTTGTTTTTTTTTATTTAATTTCCTCAGAAGAGAGTGGTGAACTTGTATTATTGTCTATAGCATAACCTTTCAATTAACCCTAGCTTTTGTGTGTTGTTCCCATTTCCTTATACATATTGGCCTCTTGTTCTATCATACTGAGGCACATCTTATTTGATACAGTATCCACTTCATACAAAACAAATTAAACACAACTGTACTTATTTTAATGTATACATCCTATAATACAAAGGAATATATCATAAGATTTGTTAAAAAATGGAATTTAAAGAAGGAAAGATGATTTTGCTGGTATGGGGAAAGAGAGACAGATTGGAAGTGGCCTGGTTGAGTAACTGGATAACTATTGCAGGGATTAATTTTTAAAGAGGGTTAGTTATCTTGAAGGGGTGAAATGTCAGATTTAACCTCCTTCACACATGTGTGCTAAGTGGTAGCAGCTGTTGAGACCTTGCAGGTCAGTTTTCCTTGGAGGACAAACCATCTATGCACAGCCTGGGTACTTTCTTACCATAGTTGATTGTTTATCTTCATGCTCAGAGGTGGATAAAAGGAATACAGCCATTCTCCTCTTTCTAAAAAACCTTAGTGCAGACATCAACGACTTGGTCATAAGGAGCAACCTTTCGCTGAGAATAGATTCTTGCTTTGGGAGATAAGGGCAGTGAGCAAATTGTCTTGCTTATCACAACTTCCTCACTTACATCACATCACAAAATTAACCACAGGACAGTATTTCTTTGAAACCTCTGCACTGATCCCAAGATAAGGAACGTATAAAGCTGTATCTAACAGAGCAGTCTGGTGATTTTTTTCTGCCGTAATAATGCAAGTCTTAAAGAGGGACAAGAAATATTCTGCCACCCCTTCCTTATTCAGTATCCTGTTGCTTCGCTAGGTTACAGGCTGGATGACTGCTGGTATTCTTTGTGACTGAATGGTTTCTATGCCATCAATTTCCAGCAACAATTTTTTTTCTAGAAGTGTTACTCCTGAGCTAGCTTATTCTGCCTCCTTTTCTGTCACAGCAAATGGCAACAGTTGTTTCAGTGCTGATGCAAAACTTTCTTGTTTTTAATCTCTTGTGTATTTTCTCTTTAGGTTAATCTTGACAGTGGCACAGGGAAAAAAGTTTGTGTAATAGATGAGATTGGTAAAATGGAACTCTTCAGTCAGTCTTTTATACGAGCCGTTCGTCAAACTCTGGCTGGTTCAGGGACTGTGATACTTGGAACTATACCAATACCTAAAGGCAAGCCACTCGGACTTGTGGAAGAAATACGAAGTAGGAAGGATGTTAAGGTATTCAGTGTAAGTAATCTTAAACACCTTTTAAGGAGCCTTTTACTTCTGGGTTGCCATTTTGCATGTGGCTTTGTTTTAATGATTGGTCATTGCTACAAATGAATGATGTTTCTGTACCATTATGGTGGGGATCAAAAGCACGTTGGGCTTAGTTGTAGCTGTCATGGTTTCCCTAGACAGGTAGTTATAGGGGACTTGGTGAGAAAGTAGCAGCATAGTCTGCCATTACCAATTAATGACTGTTGGAAAGCCCATCTGAAGTGAATCCAGTAGCATCCATTTAGTTCTTAAAATGCAGGTGATCATAGTACCAGAAAAAAAAATCACATCATGTGTATGGTCTCTTGTCATAGAAATTAGGTACAGTACTGCATGTGGTTGTAGGAGTAGCACTGTTATTGTTTCACAAAGTAGGAGGGTTGTAGATCATAATTTTTTATGTAGCACTCATAATGTTTAAGGGATCAAATTTTTTAACTCCAATTAGTCTTTGTAAATTGGTCTTTATTACCAGTGATGATGATATGTGACAAATAAAGCACCTCACTATCTGAGTTATCTGAGTTCAAAAGGAGGTTTGCAAGACTGATAATTAGAGGGGAAACACTTCCTCTAAACCTTGTAAGTGGAGCATATATTTTTTTGAATCACCGAGTTAACACACTGAGCTTCATATACAATTTTTGCAGATGTAGTTCTCTGAGCAGAACTGTGCTTTAAAACCCCAGTGATCGACTTTTCAGATCTTTATCCTATCAGTTATGTAGCCTGTAGATATCTATCTGTTCAAGCAACCTAAATTGTATTAGGTGCTTTATAAAATGAGTAAAAACATTGGTCTCTGCCCTATAATGGGTATTTTCTGTTTTCAGTAAGTAGTAGAGTCATATGTTGTAGGCAGAACCATGTGCTTGCTCTTCTGAACCACAAAAACTAGGTAATTGTGACTTGTGTATCTTATTTTTCTGACAAGTGGAGAGAAGGTTTTCATGCGATATATTCTATATATATTGGTTATGTAGGATATGGTAAGAGTCCTTACTGTGTTTTGTGTGGTGAAGAGTGAATGGATGGTGAAGGAAAGAACTCACTATTTTGACAGGGTTTTTTTGTGTTTTAATGATCTTATTCATAATTTGCTGTTTGAAGCACATAATGAAAAGTCACTTACTATGCAATTCAGTTCTCCCTTCCTGCCAAGGATTCACTTACGCTGTTCAGTGCTACATTGTTGTGTGAAATTGTACCAGTGGGATTGGATGTTTCCCTCCCTTCCCCGTGGCAATATCAGAGTGTCATTCTGATTAAGTGATGTCAATGTGGTCCATAGCATTAATCATCTGTGCCCTGTATCTGCAACAAGATTTGAGAGTTACGCATCAACATCTTCATACCCTAATATTTTTTTCTTAAGCCATCAGCCAAACTGAGCAGCTTATTATTTGGTTATTTTTTAAACCCAGAAAAGTCCACATTGTTTTTCAGTAACAGGCTACACCTTCCTCAGTGAATGTCACCTGTGCACCTTCCAACTAGGTCTTAGCAGATTTCCAGAGCCAAGTGGATGAAAGACATAGGCACCTAGGCATTTGGGCTCCTTTGTTAGGTATGTGGAGGGTGCCTTGGCATCTAGGCATCTTTGTATGTGGTATGGGGAGATTATGTACCTCAAATTGGATCCACAACAGCCAGCATACCAGGCATGGAGCTACTGAGACCTAGACAATAGGAACACTAAGAGCCGAGCAAGTCTTGCTTTCCTGTTTATTGGGAGCCTTATCTAGGACTGAAGGGAGGCACCTCCATCCACTTGGAACCCTCCCCTAAAACTAGCCCCGCAGAGTCATTGTATAGGAGACCTGAGCAAGTCTTGCTCTTTACTTCTGAAGTGTCCACCACCCACTGACAGCACAAAATGGTTTACCTTCATTCCCCATTTCATTTTAACTTTTCTTGTCCCAGGCCCAGTATTATAAATAGTGTGTAAAGGCTTTGGTTGTGTTTGGAAGCTGGCTTACACCTAATTTTGCCCTATCAAAGCCTTCTGCTGCACCCTCCTAGTGATGTTTTAGTTGTGCTTGATTTAAAAGGAGAGACAGACAGACAGACCATTGTGGGGTTCAATTTGGAAAATTCTTACAGGAGCACTGTGTAGCAGGGCAGTAGAGCTAAGGTGCAAGACCCACTGCATCACAGAAAGTTTTAGCAACCAGAATATAATGGTGGATACACACACACAAAAAAAAGAACTCATGATATAAACAGTGCATATTCTTTCACTGATAGTCACTCACCATCATCTTTATGACATGAGGATGTGTGTGTACAAACCAACCAAACATCATCTTGCAGTTACTAGGAGTGCAAGTGTGTGTGCACACATGCGCACGCGCACACACTGTCAGAAGAATGAAATGCACCTAGCATTAAAGAGGTATATTTCTAACTTACAAGTTCAGCCCTCTGAAACCTGACCTTTTTCTAAGCCACAGAATTTCCCTGGCTACCAAAAAGACCATTTCTCCCTTTTCAGTTTTCATCTGTCTTTCCCCCATCCCTTTCTGTCACAACATTTTTTTTTTTTTGGTAACAAAACACTTATTTTCCTGACTTAGGCTCTTGATATAGCTGTTTTGCATTTGGTTCGTAGCATCTAGTAACTACATGTCAAGTCCTATTTGTATTGAGCCTAGTAAAATCTGAGGTACTAGACACAAAATCAATAAAGTCAAATGTCCAAGTTGTTCCTGATCCATCTGTGTCAGTTTATTTTGACAAAAGCGTTGAGAAATATGGATTTATTATTCCTGTTCTCTTCCTACACACAGAAAAAAGGTTCCAGTTAAACAGATTTTGCAAGACAATCTTTCCCAAAATAAATAAATAAATAAATAAATATTTCCACTTGACTAACTTCATATTATTCGTGCATGTGTGGAAGCCTGGTTGTTTCTCCATCTTACCTAAATGCATTGTTGTAACAGTGATGTCCACACACTTGTGGTTCTCTGAATAAAAACATATACTCATTTCTAACTTCTAGTATAGGCACTTTCCCTAAATAAATAAATAAATAAATAAATATTTCCACTTGACTAACTTCATATTATTCGTGCATGTGTGGAAGCCTGGTTGTTTCTCCATCTTACCTAAATGCATTGTTGTAACAGTGATGTCCACACACTTGTGGTTCTCTGAATAAAAACATATACTCATTTCTAACTTCTAGTATAGGCATTATTAGGTAGTTGTGTTTTTGTCTTGCCAAGTTTGTCTAGAAAAGTAAGCCTGAAACTTTGAACCATAGCAACCTCTAGACTCGAGTAACTCAACAGAACATATGATTAAAACAGTTTTTGCAAAATAGTATGACGAATTTCCTAATCTTTTCAATCTGCTGTTTGATATTCTTGCTGCATGGTATACTTAAAAGCTTTAGTTAAGTAGGAATGTTTATATACTTTGAGACAATGGAAAGCAGTGGCATTGATGTTCATCATGTTACCTGAAATACTTCCAGTGGGATCTAGAATCTGACACCCTTGTGTTTTCTGTACTTTGAAGTCCCAAGGTGCCTTTCTCAGTAATTTTTGGTTGGAGTGCTCCTAAAATGGTGGGTGTCAACCTTTTTAGACCCAAGACACCACTCAGAAAATGTCAGCTCTGGGTTTTCCCTTGGTTTTCTTGACTACAGAAAAGTAATCGACCAATTCTTCTGCTGCAAAAGAGTCAGAAAAACTACAACAGATCAGCATAATTTAACACTCTGGATTCCTATTTGAAATCCCTGGGTTTATCTTGTGAATCATGTTTGCACACCTAACAGTGCTGATATTGCATGGCACCTCTGAAAGGACCTCAAAGCACCCCAGGGTGCCTTGGCACCTTGGTTGAAAACCATTGTCCTAGAACATTGGTCAGTAGTAAAATTAAAGTGTGTTTCTTCTGTCAACCCATTGTTTTCTTCATGTACATTTGCTGGCTGTGTCTTTGTGTTCACTGTGTTTCCAACACTTAGATGTGGAGATATATAATAAAAACAGATGCTACTATACTTGGGGTCAGATTTCAAGCTGAGCCTGTAATGGTATTGAGGCATAACAGGAATATCCAGATTTAATATGTTAATTGGTGTGCGTTAGTAGGAATATAAAACCTCAGGCTTCAGTTCTGAAGCCAGTCTCTTAGAGACCTTTATGGAGAACAGTATATCAAACATCTGCCAATTTGCCCCTTGCTGTGAATCACCTTGTGTAGGGTAAATTACCCCACATAAACTCCATGCTACAGCAACAGCTGTACAGTATTAGGTGTAAGACATGGGAAGTTATAGTACCATTCTACTTGGTGCTGGTTAGGCCTTATTTGTGGTATTATGTGTGGTTGTGAGCTCCACATGTTAAGAAGGATGTGAAGAAATTAAAGAGGATTCAGAGGCAGGTGGCAAACATGTTAAAGGGTTTGGAAGGCAAGGAAACATTGAAAGAACTAGGCAAGTTTAGCTTGTAGAAAAGGCAGTTAGGGAGGGACATGGTCTTCAAATATCTGAAAGGCTGCTATAAAGAAGAGGGGAGAATAACTTTTCTCCCTTGATGCAGAGGGCAGGATGCAAAACCATGGCATCAACTTGCAGCAAAATACATTTAAGTTAGATACCAAGAATCAATCCCTTACTGTTAGAACAGTGAGGCATTAGAATAAACTGTCCAGAAAAGCCGCAAAATCTATTTCTTTAGAGGTTTTCAGTCAGAGGTTAGATAAACATTTGACATGGATGATTTAGGAGTAGTATTTAGGCCAGGGTTTGGATCAGATGACCATTAAGGTCCCTTCCAACCTTATTCTGTATATGACTAAAATGGTAAAGGTGTCTGAGGCAAGGCAGTTCCTGTATGCTTTCACTATTCTACAATCATTGCTGTGGCTACAGTGTGTATATGCCCGATAAGAAGCAGGATACTGCACTAGATGGATCTTGGGACTGATTCAGAAAGGCAGTGTCTACATAAAATAGGTGAAATCCTAGCCCCACTGCCATAATTCCCACTGACTTGGTTTATTTCAACTGTAAACACTTCATGTGCACAAGTTACAGCTTGCACCCGCAAAATGCAACAATTATACAGCCACTAATATCGAGCAGATGTGCTGATTATTTGTATTTATCAGAGGGACCTAACCTTTCCATGGAATTGCCTTTTCTTTTTTTTTCCTCCCAAGTATCTTGAGAAACTTGGATCTCTTCACTTCAGTTCAGTATTAAAATAGATGCCTACAGGAGAACCTTTTTCGTTTTTTACTGAAGAAGTGTCTGAAAAAACTAAATTTGACATCCCATTAAAACATGATCCTATTAGATACTGAATGCAGAAAAACTACTAGTATGTAGTATGCGAGTGGTATAAGGTAGTTGGAAAGGGTTTCTCATTACCAGAAAAGGAAGTGGTGGCTCTTTGTAAGATTCCTGTCAGTCAATCACAACTGAATAAAATTACAAAATACCAGTGGTAATAAGTCAAAGAAAGTACCAAATATACAAGAGCTAATGTAGGTCTATGGGGATAAATTATTTGCTCTAGATGGTGTGGGGAAGCAGCTAATATGGAGGTGCATGTTTGACTTGACTGGTGGGGGGGAACCTTGAGTGAGATGGAGGCTATTATTCATCAAATCATGTTAGTTTTTATTTCTCTTTCTCTAGGTTACTAAGGAAAATAGAGACAGCCTTTTGGAGGATATTGTGACAACTGTTCAGAATTGCAGAAAATGAAGACAACTTTCTTTTTTGTAAGAAAAATAAGTTCTTATTTTAGTTTATAGCAGGAAAGCACAGACCTACACCTGCACCAAGGCACTGCAGTCTTCATTGTGAGCAGGATAGTACTCAAGTGGAAAAGAAGTTGGTGGGGTCCCATGTTTGTCGCTTTCTTATAAATAAAAAAAAAAACCAAAAACTTGCCAGGATTCTCTCTCACACAGACATGCACCCTGCTCCACAACCTCCCCCTGCCACAGTGCCTCATCCTGGGATTTGAAACCAACTGGTTACAGTTATGCATATCCAATTAACTATCAAAGTCAATTGAACCACTGATTTAGGCTGTGGTTTTGCAATACATAGTGCATAGATGGCCAGCTGTGCCCAGAGACAAATTAAAATAATTGGGGCTCTTTTATAGACCGAAATCTATACCACTCATTGAAGAATTAGTGCTTGGCTTCTGCAGAGCAGGATAGAATCTTGTCTGAACTACATTATTTTCTATATGTATTATCATCACCTCCAAAATGACCTAGCTTAGGCATTCTGTTTAAACATGTCTTCATGACCTTTCCAATGAGCTTTGGCTGGTCAGTATTACAGCCCAATACAGAAAGTATAGAGCAGGTAAGCTGAGTTCAATTTTGAATCGGAGATAAAGCACTGTGTATCTTGATGGCATCTTTATAGAAAAGGCCCACTTTAAATCATTTAACTGCTGCCTGAGGGGTGCATTGCCTGTTCTATATTTCTTTAGCAAATTTTGTGATGGGAAGGAAAAACAAGACAATACTTTAGTACCCTGGCTTCCTTGGCAGACGCTTTTATTCCATGAAATATTTAAAATATAAGTTCAAACTTAATGCTACATTTGACTATTCAAGTTGAACAATTCATTAAGGTTTATTGATGCTTAATGATTTCTGTTTATTTCCTTTTTCAATCCTGTACGTAGTTTTTGGTTAATGATGAAATAAGACATGATTGAGAGTATTAGATGACATATATCCCCAGGAGGTTTGTAAATGTGTTCAGGAAAAAGAAGTGTTTACCACTTAATCAGTTTTGCATGTCATGAAAACTTAATTCCCAGCCAGGTGCAGACTTGTTCTCTCATGATACAAAGCATTCTCTGGCTTTAAAAATTGTTAAGAATCTAGCTTTCCTTATTCCTGGATTGCTGATGTACATGGCAACAAATGTTTAAGTGAACACATTGGTTTAAAAGCATGTGAAAACTTGTGTTGTAGTCGCTCAGTCATTTATTCCCACACCATTACGCTCCAACAGCAGAAGTTCTACATATGCTGCCAGATGGCGACAGGCCTTTCCACAGGTGCACAGTATGCTGTGGGTAACCTGCAAGGAACTCCTTACTCTCTCTCATTCACAGTATGAGTACCTGTTAGAAACACTGCCCGGCTATGGACCATTGGACAACATCATACCAGAGTGGAGAGGGAACCATAGGACCATTTCTTCTCTGATTCACTTAATATGCAGTACTGGCTGAGTCAGTTTAGAAGAAAGTATAACTGTCACTGAGCTCCCTGTGGGCTGTGCTGCAATAGGCTAATCCAGGGGGTGGGCAAAATATGGCCCAGGGGCTGCATCTGGCTCACCAGGGGATTCTGTTCAGCCTGCAGCAGGTCCCTCTGCTCTGCCCAGCCCAGGTGCTGGTGGCAGCCTGGGCTATAGCATGTGTAGCCATTCCCGATTCCTGGCAGCCCTTGCAGCAGTATTTCTTCTGGTTGCTGCCGCCAGTGTCTCTGTCACCACCAGCCCCAGTGTCTGGGTACCCTGGCCCATTTGCCTTGCTCCACCCACCAGGGGCTCTGGACAGAGCGAGGAGGCAGGATCTCCTTGAAGATCAGCCTGGGACCCCTGTGGGTAGGGTGTCCTTTGCTTGGTGGATAGGATGGGCCCATGGGCAGGTGGGGAGCAGCATCCGGGAGCAGGATGGGCAGGCAGGGCCAGTGCCAGAGCCTGGATTACAGGGTGGTGACAGGCAGGGCCAGGGCTCAGGGCAATGCCCCAATCCACTACCTGCCTGCAGAACTGGCACCCATTGCAGGGCCATACAGAGAACAGATCGGAGCTCTGCCCCGGGACCTGTCCTCATGCTGTCACTGTCCTGTCTGCCTGTCCCATGCACAGACACCACTCCGTGCCTACCTCTGGCCCCATCCCATCTGCCTGACCAAGCGTGCCTTGCCCATGGGGGTCCCAGCTGATCTCCACGGAGACCCTGCCCACCTGCTCTGTCTGGCACCCCCGGCACTGGGTGCGGGGCAGCTCCCAAACTCTGGATGCCTGTGTTTGTATAGTAGTTTGTATGATGGATGCCCTACTCCAGGGCTGTTCTACTGGCAGCCCCCAAACCATATATGGCCTGTTAGGGGTTAACATGCTGCCTGTGGCCTCCTGCCTGGCTGGTACTCCATCCATAGCTCTTGTGGTGGCACCAGGCAGCTCTTCCTCCCTTTTCTGGCTTCTGGTTCTAGCCCTGCTCCTAGGGTCAGGCTGGCCCTGTGGGAGGGAGCCAGGCTGCCTGTGCTGTATGTGTGACAGGGGAGGATGCTGGGCTATGTGCTTGGCAAAAAAAGGGAGCCAGGCTTCCTGTGTAGCATGTAGCCAGAAGGGGAGCAGATAAATGCTCTGAAAGGAAGACGAGTTGTGTATGCGGCAGAGGAGGGAGCTCAGGGTAGGCCTAGCCACTGTGCCATGCACCCCCCAGGTCTGTGGCCTCTGCTGCATGTGGCCCCTGGCTGCCCAGAAGTAGGACAGCCCTAACAGGAAGCTTTGTGCACCATACCCCACACACCCGTCCCGTGTCCTCCCTCTCACATAAGCCAATGCTGTGTTAGACACTCTGTGCAGTATAGCAGCCCTCAACATTTCGTTGCATTGTCAGCAGAAGTTAGAAGTTATAATTAGAAAGTTCAGTTGGCTAGTTTTAAAATAGAAGCAGAAAGCATGGGTGTTATTACAGTGGTTTTGAGTCTTCAGAACATGTCCTCAAATGTTTACAGAATAAGGAACAAAGTGGTTAATTTTGCAGGGCCAAAATGCCCTTGAGTTGTAAGGGCCATCTAAATAATTGTTCTTTCAATGATTAATAATTGCCAAGTGCTTCTTGTTCTCCAGAGCAGTCAGTTGGCATTGAGAAGAACACTGAATAAACTGTAACTGGGCCATTTAGGAACAGCTTTTGTTCAGCGCTGAAGTTCATGAGAAAGACTCATAAGACTTCAAGCACAACTGGGCGCTTAATGAGAAATGACTTCTAAAGAAAAAATAAAATCAAGGCACAGGTTAAGCATAAATGGCTGCTGCAGTTCTGCAGTGTCTGGAGAACCTGGTTTGTTTTCTAAGTCCTACTTTGGTCAACAAGACTTTTTCAGTTGCATTTCTGTGAGTGGCTCATAGTATCCACTTTGGTGGATATGTTGTCTTGTTATTGAGCACTTGTATGGGACTTCGCTGATCCTGGCCTCTGGTTTGTAGAATACTGTGCACAGAGAAGATGCTACCTGGTTAGAAATTAATTCACAAACCCCACCAAGTGGGGTGAGAATTTGCTTAGTAGGCCTGTAGCAGAAAGCCCCACTTTGTACATTTCCCTTCTGGACATTGATATAACAGAAGTCTCTTCTTGCCTGCAACCCTCCACCCCTTTCACCCCCCCTCCCCCATTTTGTGCATTTCTTTTCCTTCTCAGTTTTGGCAGGGTGTGGCAAGGCTCCAAGCAAGCCAGAAAGCTGAAGTGGCTTTCTGTAGGAAAAACCTACAAACTACATCTACCTATCAATTAAGCTCATTGTCACTAAAGAATACAAAAGAACTAAAATACCCACTGCAAAGACTGCAAATATATCCCGTGCTAACTTAACTGACTTGCTGTCCCCTGTAGCCTGTGATCCTCACTTTCTCACATTGCATTTTTATATATTTCTGACAGTGCATTTTTATATTTCGTGTCTCATTTTTACTATGGCATTTTGTATTTTATATTTTATACTTTTAAACCCTTAAGGAATGTACTCCCTGTAGAATGAAGTTACACCCTGGACCAGTGTTAAAAACTGCATTGAAATTGTAATTGTAAAGTGATAAAATCTGCTATATTGGGCAGTCCTTTGAGTGAATGTGAGTGTATGGTGATCAGTATGTAATCTAAGTGACAATAGCCACTTTAAGCTAATCAAGCCAAGGAACTGATCCCTGGAACTGAGCACATTTACCCTATGGACTAGTCCTGTAACCCATGACAATACAGCCGTTAAGTCAATAAGTCAAAGGTAGACTCCCAAAACCTCAGGTGCCAGCAGGCACAGACCCCTGTGACTAACAGCTGTCATGTACAAAACCCATGTGGGACAGCAACCTCTGGATTGGGTAGCCAAGATGATACTAGGGGAATCACACAATTCTGCCAGAAAGGGATAAAAGGCAGTGAAGCATGACCCTCAGTGGTGCCCTCTCATCCAGCACCTGATCTACCAAGACGGAAGGACAAGCAGGCGACCCTCTTCTAGAGAAGACATCTCCTTGAAAGAAGCTGACCATCGACAGCAGAATCCAGGGCCTCGGTAGATATACACACACCAGTGCTCTCACAATCACTACAGCAGCTACTACACACTATGCTACGTGGGTTTGAATGAGTGAGTGCATGTGTGTGTGTATGTGCTAAGGTGACCAGTACCACCCATAACTCAAAGTTTGCATTTATGATTTTATTGGTAACTTCACATCCCATCCAATAAACTAGAATGTATTATGACTTGCTCCTTTGTAGCCAATAGGCCATTAATTCAAGACTAGAAATATGGCACATATTTTTATAGAGAGCATAGGAAACAACTTATCAAGGGGCATAGGTGATTCTCCATCACTTGAAGTCTCCACCA